CAGACCCTCCCATTCGAAGAAGTAAATTACATTTCGACATTATCTGATAGTCAGATCCGAGCTATGACTGATTTTCCTAACCCAATCAATAGTCCGGAGCAGTGATCTACCAGCGAACTAGGCTCGGCCAATTTTATTTTTTGTTTAAAGATACAACATATAATACAGATTATTTATGGCGCAACTATTACGGAGCAATGATCCAAAGGGTCTAAATATTTTTGATTTACCTGAAGTACTAGAACAAATCTTATATTTTTTAAAAATCGATCGATCTCTCTATCCTGCTTTATTCGTCAACCACCTTTGGTATCACTGCGGTGCTCCTATTCTATGGCGAGATATTGATTTTTTCATAGATTGTCAAGGAAATACATATAATAACAATTCATCTGGAGATCTTTATTGGCGATTATTGAAGTTTAAAAGAGTTATGAGTGGAAAGAAAAAGCCACTCTATTGTTCAAAGATGGTATATCTTAGTTTGGAAGGTTTAAAAATCTCGGATGTTTTGATCAGTGCAATTCTGCATTCATGCCCAGATATACGCTTTCTTATTCTTAATCGAAGTTATGGTTTTACTAATATACCAATTATAAAAATTGCAAAATTTTGTCCGAAATTAATACACTTAAGTCTTAATTCATGTAAATGTCTCACTAATCGATGTATCACTGAAATTACTCGCTCGTGCCCAAAACTTAGACATCTTGAGCTTGGTGATTGCTCGATTAGTAATAAAGCTGTCGAGGAAATAGCCCACAACTGTACTAATTTGAAATATCTCAGTTTGGAAGGGTGTTATAATATTAGCAAAGAAGCCATAGATCAGCTAAATCCAAATACCTATGTCAAGAATTTCCTCTGGGATCCGATTCGAGCTGAGATAGAGCGAGTGGTAGATCTAATATCAAGACAGCCTAGAGTTGTTAATACTAGAAGTCAGCTTCACCAGGCATTACGACAACCTAATTCCAATATATCTATGATAGTTGACTCTGGTGCTGATCACCCCATTATAGCTATAGGCAGACAAGCACCAAGGAATTATTCGATAGTATTATTTGATGATCTAGCTAGTCCAGAGCAGTGATTATCTGTCCGGAAGATTTATTTTTATATTAAATACACCTGAACTATAAGAGGGATATTCGACTAGGATGGTACTTGATATAGAACCCAAACAAGAGCTTAACGACCTTCAAGAATCACTTGTCAACTTAGGACAAGACTTATGGAAAACTTACGCAAATCTTGGATCAATTGCGCAATACTGCAAGGTAAGATTAATGATAAAAGTTATCAAAGATCTGTCATAGAGTTAGAACGGAATATGAGATACATGTGCGAAAGACTTGGATTAATGGTAACCATGTATGGCCTTAAAAAGAAAATTGATTATAAATTGGAGGATCCTGAATTAGAAACTAACTTTACTATCACCGAATTTATTCCACGAAGTATTAAATATAGGAGTCAGGAACCATTATCTTCTCATTTGACATTTGAAACTTTACGAGGCTCATTACACTGTAGATTGCGTAAAAAAGATTTCTCAGAAGAGATTGTCAATGACGGTTGTAGTACACCTGAATTAACTGATTCTGATCTGGAATAGTAACGCTAAACTTAATTAGTTTCTGATCTAACTAGTCCAGAGCGGTGATCACCAGCTCAGAAGAATTTGCTGAGCCACAGATTGTACAATAATAACCTTATTTTTTCGATTGAAAATTCTTCTAATCATATAAAATGCATACAGCTAATTTGCTTGATCACCTTGCACCTGAATTAATACCATTTATTCTAAAGAATTTATTGATACAGGATCTTAAAAAATGTTGCAGTATAAATAATATATGGAAAGATGAGGTGCTTCGAGAAATTCACAAAAGATTGATAGTGAATTGTATATTCATTTGAGCTGAAGTAACTGTTAAAGCACTTATTGATCCCAAATTCTTTCATGGAAGCATTAGTAAGACGCTTGCCAAAAAAATGGATTTATATATTTCTAGAGAATATGGGTCAAGATATCCTGCAGTAAGAGACCTTGGCATTGGCGCAACAAATGCTGGCAAGAAGGGGATGGGTTGATAGAGAAGAAGTTTCAGTCGCTTTGCCAAATATCTTTGATGAGATAGTACCTTGCATCCGCAAAATAGATACAGCAAATTTTGTAGTTATTGACAAATCTGAATATGATTTGGTTTTAGGAAGTGTATGGCTAATGCATACAGGATATGCTGTTGACAGAGATCAAAACCCACCATGGTACATTAATAAACCTAAAGAGATCGAAGACAAGAAAGGGAAAAAAGTCGATATCGTTGTAGAAAAAATCTTTGGGAATTACCTCTTTCATTGCATACATTTTACGAACTATTATTTCCCGAATTTATTGCAACAGATTCAGATGGAGAAGTCATATTAACCAAATTTTTCAATCGTCATAAAGTTATAAAAAATCTTGATCTAAGTGAGTATTATGATTCAGAATACACTGAAACGGAATCATCCAGCTCTGAAACTGAATCAGAGGATGAATATGTCTATAGTAATAATGAGCCTCTCTGTTTAAGATACTCTGACTAGTCCAGAGCGTGTTGAGAGGTGATCATTAATTAGATTTTTTTTCGTTTGAAGATTAAAGAAAACTAGCTAATCAAGCAGAATGCTAGTACTTTACCGATCTAACTAATCTGGATCAGCCGAATAATCTACATATTTTTATCAATTTTGAATACTAACACTGATATTACACAGACATGGAATCCGAAATAGATTTATTAAAGCAACGCATTACTGAGCTTGAAGCTGAGAAAGCTGAGCTTGAGGCTAAGAACTCTGAGCTTTTAAAGCGTGTTATAGAAGAGATCACCAAATACAAAGCTGAGAACGATGAGCTCAGGGTTAGAATCGAGGAGCTAGAGAAAAATAAGACAGATACCACCAAACTCGTGTCTGAGAATGTTGAGCTTAGAGATCGAGTCATGAAAGTAGAACAGAGGCAATTGCAAAATGAGCCAAAAGGCGCTTCGCATAATTCTCCTAACAATGGTTTATCTAACTTCAATTCGGTTGCAGAGAATCATGGGAAGTTATTGAAGGATAAGGAAATGGATGATTTCTCTTCTGAAGAACCTGTTGACATACCTGACTCCGTTATAGCTCAGCTCGAGCAGTGTGAGCCTGTTTGCAAAATAAATGATGCGGTATCAAAGGTAACTGTCAGCTCTAAGACATCGGAGGAAAGGGGAATGGATGCTTTCATGAATAATGCGAATAAAAAAAAGGTTAGTAATGAGATAAGGCAGAGAAAGCGAGAGGAGAAACTTCAGCGTGAATCAATTGCTCAGGACCTGGTGATTGCTAGCTCATTATGCATCTCTGAAAAAGACGATCAGATGATTTCAGAAATTTCGGAAGAGTTTGAAAAAACCGTTCCCTCAGGGAACGATCAGAGTCATTTGTCTTCAGTTGAACTAGATCTCGAAGTATCCATGGAACAAGATGATAAGCTGATTCCGGAGGAATCATTAGATAAAAATCAAATTGTAGAACAGGGTCTAATACAAGAACTGTGTGGTACTTTTGGCGCCTGTTCATCCATATCCACTGAAAACAATGTCAGCTCTACAGATACTAATTCCTCTTGCAAAGGATCAGAGAATATGATTTCGGGTTTTGCCCAACACTTGTCTTATCTATTTGATACAGCAATAAAGTCTGGTCAACAGGAAATCTTAGACTGGTACAATTATTCCCTTGAATTCGAGAGCAAGGTAGATGCTCTTATTGCTGATGGTAGAATCAAAGATAAAATGGCAAGATCAATGATTTACAAAGAGATGAAACCATTTCTCCCTAATAAAATCACACAAGATAACTTGCGCAAGAAAACTCTTAGGGCTAGAAAACATCTCATGTTATTCGGAAAAAATGGAGTTGGAATAGACAAAATCAAGTTGGTTTTATATAGTGCGACTGAGATTTCAAAATTGACTTACCTACAAATTCAAAATGTTATAGATGAAGTAATCCCGAAAACCGTTCCCTCAGGGAACGATCAAAATCATGTGACTTCAAAAACTATTCAAACTAATGTATTTACCAAATTTGAGGTAAGCGTCCCTACCACACCTGTTCCTTCAACCCATGTCTCTAATTCTTCAAGTAAGACGAATCCGGACAATATTTCCATAACTGAGGTAACCAATCCGCTCAAAGCTGAGGACGATTTGCCCAAATCTCCAGTAAGTATACCATCCACATCTTCCATAGGTAATTCTAACAAATCCAGACTTCCGATTTCTATCTTGCCTGAAGATCCCGAAGAGAAATAAAAACATATCATTGGGTTGGTATTAGAGCGTTTTCCTTATCTATCCTTGGAGTATAGTGAGAGTTATGGCGATAGATTTATGTTTAATAGTTCAGTACCTTGTCCCATGTGTAATAAAGATCATGAAGGCGAAAATTTAAAGGGTGAATGGGGTTCTGGTATATATATTGGAGAACGAGCTTATTACCTTGAATGCAGGAAAGCTTTTAATAGTGGAATTCCAATAGTGTCTGTAAAAGCATAGAGGGCGAAAACTTAGTCACATGAGTGTCTTAGAGAGTGGATCACCGCCCGGGGTCGAAGGCTAAGGCAAATAAATGCGCAGAAGATATTTGGTAGAATTATTGCCAAAGAATAGGGGTTGTGCGACGTAAGATTCGTATACATTGTTTTTTTTTCGCTATTTCCGATCCTGATTTTTCGTGATGCTGGCGATTCCAAGTTCACGGGTATATTTCCACTAAAGCTGAAACAAACAGGAAATATCTACGATCCCAAATTTATGATTCTTGAACCACACGACCCTGGTTTCACACATCCGATGATAGAGATGATCTTGGAAATAAAAAAGCTAGGAAACCGATTGAGGAAAAAAAAAATCTTCTCAGGATACTTTCTCGACATGGGATAATAGACGATTTTTCTCCGTCATTTCCGATCGTGATGCTGGCGATTCCAAGTCCGCGGGTAAATCTTCACTAAAGCTGAAGCAACCAGGATTCCAAGACCTCGGACAGGAAGAGGTAAGTTTTTAGTTGAACCCGCTTAAATCAAAAAAAAGCTCAAACCCTTTACATCCATCACATCCATCACATCCATCACATCTATCATCAATCCCATCAACCGAATGATCGAGCATTTCCTACAAAAATAAAAACAAGGTATGTCCTACTATTGCTCGATTTAATTTTAAAAAATGACATCGATGCTACACATGATACTTACCATTTTTCTGGTATTTTATATGTACTAATCTTGATCCTTGATATTCGCTGAGAAATATGTTTCTGAATCTGATTCAACTAGGCGCATTCCACTCCCAGATTCGAGTTACGAGAAAGGCTTAAATAATCTTCATTTTAATAGGATCATTCAAGCGAAGTAAAATTATTTCTGAATTCCAACCCCTGCATCGTTTTCCATCCTTAAGGTATAGCCATGTTGCACGAAAATAAAAAATGTATTTAGTTTTAAACCACTAGCATAGAAATGTCTTCATGTACCTGTTTTTCTTCCCGAAATTTTTTATTTTAGGCAAATAAAAGAATTTTAACACTGCATATGATCTCTTAACCAGTAATGACTACTTATCCCTATATACTATATTCCGCTGATCGCTCGAGAGTAATGCAAGTTATTTTTGAAAATTAGGATCGACAAAT